GCAAAGAGATATGGGTCTGTAGTCGTTGATGTTGGTAGCATGAGAACATTTAGGGATAAGAGCAATGGCCGTGGCCTTCAGTCCTCTAGGCAGAGAGGAAGTAGAGAAGAAGTTGTTAACATCATTGAAAACTTGAATCCCAAGAAGATGCCAAGTCTTTCTATAAAAAACATAAGTAAAACCATCCGGGCCCGGAGCAGAGTTCTCATTCCCATCAAAAACCGCATTTTTTTACTTCCAAGTAAGACAAAGGGGCCACCAACATAGCCATATAACTAGGAGGAACTAACTTGCCAGGAGGGATGTTCAAAGGCCAAGACAGATGAGCAGCAGGAGAGTTAAACCTACTCTCAAAATGTTTAATAATAGCAGAAGAAATATCATAAAACTAGGTAAAATGTCCATCAGATGTGATAATCTCTTTAATGTTGTTGTAGTTATTTCTACTCCTAATCTTGGTAAATAGAAATCCTAGATCATCTTCTCCATGAGTGAGCAAAAGGGCTTTCGCCCTTTGAGCAATCCAGGAACACCACTGAGCTTGCAAAGAGGCAAGTTCCTCATTGATAATATTCAGGTTATTGTTAAGCTCCCTATCTAAGGGCTGGCTTTGAATCTCAATAAGTCATTGATTTTGTTTACTTCTTAACTCCAATAAAGAAGTAGAGAGATAAGTAGAAGAAGCCCAATTTTTACTCTTGAGAGCTCTCTTGAGGTTTTTAAGGCTGTGGCAGAAAGCAGCCAAGGGACTTCTAGGAGATCTAGAAGAGAAAGCTGACAAAACCTCATCCCAAAAACCCTCCTTGTTAATCCAGTAGTTTTTGAACATGAACCTAGCAGATATAGGTTTATCATGAGTAGATTTGAGAATTAATGGACAGTGGTCCGAACCCAGGGAAGCTCCAACATAGTAGTAGGCATTAGGCAAGAAGTCAAGGAAGGCATTGTTAACCAGAACTCTATCCAATTTTATGTGAATGGGGTTGTCCACCCGTTGATTGAACCAGGTATAAAAGAGACCCGTAGAGGAAAGGTCGTGGAGCCCGCAGTTAAAGATCATTGTGGGACCTCCGAAGGAGCACCGCTCGTGGGGTACGAACGCAGAGGGTACGGCCGCACTATCCCTGTGGGACAAAATGATCGCAGACCTCTACACTCGACACGAACAGGTCGATGGGAGGGCAGATTGGATCGCGCATACGACTGACCATTGGGGATAGAGGCTGTCGCCAACACACCCCGATGGGTAGCAATATACACGACCTAGTCACGGGTTTCCCCCACCCGATACGAGAGATCGAGTGGGGTAAAGTAGATTGCGGGGCCAAGTTTCCCACGGGCGCAAGCCCCCGTGGTTAATTACATCCCGGGCCGGAGCCCGAGAAAACTCTCGATTAAGGATCATACATTATCTTTTTCAAATTAGGATTAGCACAAGGGTATAGACTATGAAATCCTACTCAAAGGAAAGAAAGGTCTAAAAAAGGCTCAATCAACATGCGTGGCTCATACCAGCATTCGGAGGCTCTAGGGTACTAGAGAAAAACTGGAGAAAGAAAGACAAGCAATCAATCACATACGTGAGAGAAAGATGGAGGTGGCGTCATCCTGTGACCCGGATAAGTAGGATTTAGGGTCCCTGAAAAGAAGGGACCAACCTACCATTTAAGGCATACTACGAGACCGGATGTAGTAGTCTTGAATCCTAAATCTAGATTGGGCTCAGTGCTCTACGAAACACTAAGACCCGTGTCCTAGCTAATGCAGTGCAAAAACCTGGACTTATCCCGGCCTGGATGGGGGAGCCAGCTAACCACCTAATCGATTCAAAGCCATGCTGTCAAGTCAATTATGAAAGATGGGTGGATGGTATAGTTCTTTGGAAATAGGACCGACATCTAGAGAGTTTCCTAAGTGGTCCTGGACTTATGTGGGTCAGATGCTCCTAGCTAATGCAATTTAAATTTTAATTAAATTTGTTTCTAATGCAATGCATGCTAGTTGAAATGTCAGCTCATGAATGCTATAGAATTTTAAAAACAGGCTTATAGAAAATAATTTTTTGAAAAGACTGGGTCTCCCTAGGTCCGGCACTTCATCCTCATAGGCCAGATTATCCGGACTCAACCCGCAGGCAGGGAGATGTCTTATAACAAGGAAAGAAAGATGCAGTAATATGCATGCGACCCCGGACGGCTCCGGCAATTCCCTAGGTTCA